ATACAGGAGCTGCCCCCTGGTGGTCAGTGTGCTCCCACAGGGGGAGCGCAGCTCAGCCAGAAGCCCTGAGCCAGGCTCATGGCTGGTGAGCACAGCGGCAGTAGCGGGAGCCTCTCCCACCCCCATGGCAGTGCTAAGGATGTCTGACTGCCCCACAGGGAGTGGGCCTAAGCTGTCAGCTGGGCTCCCAGATTGCGAGAGGGAGCAGGCAGGGCTGAGGGACCCCCCCCCCCCAGTGCACGAATTTCGTGCACCAGGTTCTTCTTTTTAAAAATGTATCTTTATTGTTGAAAGTATTACAGATGTCGCTTTTCCCCCCATTGACCCCTCCTTCACCCCTCCCCAGGCCTTCACTGCACTATCATCTGTGTCCATGGGATATATATATATATATATGCGACTGGCTGACCAGCTAGTAGCTATGACGTGCACTGACCACCAGGAGGCAGACGCTCAAAGCAGGAGCGGAAAACACAGACATGGAAGCGTGGAACAGACTGATGAATATCAGAGGAAAGGGGAAGAGATTAACCATATATCTTATATACATACTAGAGGCCCGGTGCACTGATTTGTGCACTGGTGGGGTCCCTCAGCCTGGCCTATGGGGATGGGGCCGAAATCAGCAGTCCGAGATCCCCCGAGGGGTCCCGGATTGTGAGAGGGCCTTTGCCTGTACTGTAGGTTTGGCATCACGTAATATTATCTGTTATTTAGCATTTTTTTGTTTGTTTGTTTTCTGAGTATCTTCTCTGGTAATTCTTTCTAGCAATCCCCCGCCCCCCCCAACCCCAGAATTTGGAGCAAGGAAAGGTTTACTGATCGAGAAGGCCTAGTTCGAGAACATGAGAGAACTAATTCTCCAATCCATTTTTTTTATTTATGTAAAATATATTTTTATTGATTTTAGAGAGGAAGGGAGAAGGGGAGAGAGATAGAAACATAAATGGTGAGAATCATTGATCAGCTGCCTCCTGTACGTCAACCACTGAGCCACACTGGCCAGGCTCCAATCCGTTTTAAGACAACTCAAAATTCAGGTGTCCTTCAGCAGTTTGTACAAGTTTGTTTCAGAGATTGTTGCCCCCCCACACACACTTGCCCCAAGCCCAGTGTTGGCACAAAACAGCTGGCTGATTGGACTTGCCTGGGCTCAGTTCGTGCAAGGAATGATTGGGAGCACAGAACTGATTCTCAGGAAGGTCTGGGAAGAAGGAAGGATAGCAGAACAAGGATTTGAAGGTAAGAAATCTGAGGCTCAGAGAGATGAATAATTTCCCCAAGTTCACAGAGCTGGTGGGTCATGCAGCCAGGCCTCGAACTGTCTGACTCCAATGCCCTGTTGGCTCCATTGACACAGAAATAAGTAGGCAAACACTATGCATTTATCTCATTCTGGGCTTCAAGCCCTGGCAGCAGCCCAGAGGGAGCCCTTACCTTCACATTCCAGCTGGGGACCGGGTTGTCCTTGCTGTCATAGCAACAGTCCTGCTTCAGGCACTGGCAGGCCCTCTGAGCCACTATGTCCCACCTGCACCCTTCCGCCACGTTGTAGGTGGGGTCAGCTGGATCCAGGATGATGGGCCTGCAACACAGGGAGAGGGGCCCAGGCTCTTTCTGGCCAGAAAGCAGCCTTCTCAGGCATCACCTCTTCAAGGCCTGAGCCTCTGTGTGTCCAGAGCCCCAGCCCTCGGTCCACGAGGGCTCAGAGACATTGCTGGAGAGTCACAGGATAGAGACCATTAGATGTCCAAGAATTCCTCTTGGGGAGAATTCTCTAGATGTTTGTAAGAAATTTTGCCTGGCGGGCGTGGCTCAGTGGTTGAGTGTTGACCTATGAACCAGGTGGTCACAGTTTGATTCCTGGTTGGGGCACATGCCAGGGTTGTGGGCTTGATCCCCAGTAGGGGATGTGTGGGAGGCAGCCCATCAATGAGTCTCTCTCATTACTGATGTTTCTATCTCTCTCCCTCTCCCTTCCTCTCTGAAATCAATAAAAATATTTTTAAAAGAAATTTTGATGATGATGATGATGATGATGATGTGTGTGTGTATGTGGGGGCAGGGGAGAGAGTGAGATGCCAAAGCAATATCAGATGCCCACTCAGGTAGGTGGGCCTCTTAAGTGCAAAGGCTTTGTTTTGCTGACAGGCTACATAAGTTGGAGGCTAGAGCTGCTGAATCATTTTAAATAATAACTCCCCCTCCCCCAACTACTGATACTTGGGGTACTGGGCCAAACCCTACGTGAATTTCCCTCTTTTAATGCTTACAATTCCATAGGTGGGGACTAGTATTGTTGTTGTTCTCCCCATTTTACAGATGAGGAAACCGAGGCACATAGACCTCCCTAAGTTCTCACAACCAGCAGGTGGGATTCCTCCTCAAAAGGGGAAAGGTTGGGTTGCCTCTAAGTGTCTCTCCTCCACATAAATGCTGAATGAATAGTTTAAGGAATACAAGCTTGAAGGGGCTTAGGGTTAGGGTTAGTTTCCTTGGGTTGCTTGCGTGACAACATGTGTTGGATGCCACGCCCATGATAAGAGCTGGCCTTGTTCCAGGGGCTTTCGACTTAGGAGGGAGCCGTGACTTTACGTGACAGAAGGTGATAGCAGGCCATTGGAGTGAGCTGAACATTTTCGGCTCCAAGCTTGTTACTCCCAACATCCCTGGCTCCCTGAAATCATCCTGTAGAAGCCAGGCTGCCTGACGGGTGGGGTCACCTGACCGAAAGTGACCCATCTGGGGACCCGATACACAGGGCTGATGCCTAGTGATCAGACTGGTTCTCTCTGGAGTTTGGACTAGGGATGATGGAGGTCCCTCAGCAAGTAAGAGGGAAGCAGGGCAGGTGTGGGGAGAGAAGCAGAGGCCAAGAGGAAAGAGAGGGTGGGCGGTGAGACAGTGTGTCAGGGAGAGAGGGATCGAAAGGTTTGTCAGGTCCTGATGGTTTTCCAACCTCAATTTTCTGGGTTCCTTATAATCAATCCTCTTTTCTTAAGGAGACCAGGCTTGTCTTCCTTGTTTTTTTTTTAAAAAAAAAAAGACCCATCACTCACGTAAAAGAGCAATAAACAGTCTTGTGATATTGCTTGCGCTGACTTAGACCTCCTGATATGAAGAATTGTCTCAGGCTGGGTTCTCCCAGCAGCAGATTCCCAAGGGAAGGATTTGAGTGCAAGAGTTTATTCAGAAGGAGATCCAGGATCACCAATGAGGGCGTGGAAAGTGAGAAGGACAGGAAGGGTGCCCGTCAGGGGTGAGCATCGGGGTGATGGCTGCAGTGGCGGCTGGAAGTTAGTCTCCCGGGAGGGACGCTGGGATTAACAGTGTAGCAGGCGTGACCCAGAGCGAGTCCTTCCATCTGAGAGGGGAGGGAGCTGGGGTATTTAGCCACCAACTGCTGCCAGGCAAAGGGACGCAGGTGCTGCCGTTGAGGGCTGAGCCAGCTTTCGTGGAAATAGTAAAAGCCCAAGGGCTGTGGATGGCCCCACAGCATGTGCCACCATAGTGACCCTTTATCTGGCATCCACCACGGAGGCCTTCGCAGATATTCTCTCTGACCCTCACAACAGTCCCGCGTTGGTGGTGCCGGTGGCTCCCGTTTTACGGAGAAGGAACTGAGGCAGAGCTGGGAGTAAACGTGGGTCTCCATGATTCTTTCCACTTTCTCACGCTCTCAGTATAACGTGGGTCTCCATGATTCTTTCCACTTTCTCACGCTGTCTTTAAAAAATACTGACATGCCCAGACCGGTTTGGCTCAGTGGATAGAGCATCGGCCTGCGGACTGAAGGGTCCCAGGTTCGATTCCGGTCAAGGGCATGTACCTTGGTTGCGGGCACATCCCCAGTGGGGGGTGTGCAGGAGGCAGCTGATCGATGTTTCTCTCTCATCGATGTTTCTAACTCTCTATCCCTCTCCCTTCCTCTCTGTAAAAAATCAATAAAATACATTTTTAAAAAAAATAAAAACACTGACATGCTCTTCTGAGGGCAAGTGGGCTAAGGTAGGAGGGAGCGGTGGCTTGAGGGCCAAGGAAAAGGCGTGTAGCTGCTAAGGCCCCTGGCGATTTTGGAAGGTGGCCAATGTGAGATTTCCACGCCAGTTCAAGGTTTCATGGCAGCCTTGCTACTTAATACAGCCCCCTCCCCAAAAGAGACCCCCACTAGCACCCTCCCTCGGTTCTCTTGCTTCCCTCCCCGACATGTGTTTGGAAGCAGGGGCCCAGTACCTCTCTCTTTGGAGCTGTTTTCTGACAACGTCCTCAATGATCGGGTTCTGGAACGTGTAGTACTTGGTCCAGTAGATACAAAGGGACTCATAGTCCTGGAGGAGTTCCATCACAGTGGTGAGGCCTTCGTCCAACCTGAAGCTCTCATTCTCCTGCGTGCCCATTTCCCAGGCGTAGATGGTCAGCAGCTCCAGGGCATAGAGAGGGGGCAGCGCGGCCCTGGGGCTCCTGGCTCTCACATACTGTGGAAAGATGGGCAGAGAGAGCGAGACCCTAAGACCCTGTGTCAGGATGGCACAGGACCAGAAACTGGCAAGTCCAAGTTCTTGTAACAGACTCTGTTTCGGTGAATGCTGACCCTCACTCACGTGTAGCTTGTAGATGAACAGCATGTTTGTATTCGAATCCTAGGAACTAACTTCAGAAGATCAGACTCCGACCTTCAGCCACCCCAGTCCCGGGAGATGTGCTGACCTTGTGACACAGAACCAGGGTGAAGACCAGGGTGACGCACACCAGGCCCTCACTTGGCCAGTTTCAAGGTCCTGAAGGAGTGGACTGTGCGGGCCTGCACGTGGAGAAGCTGTCGAGCTCCTCTCCGCGACCTCTTTGTGCCGCTCTCACTCTCCCTCCTGTAAATCCTCTGCCTGCACTGAGGAAGGGAGATGGGCTTTGCCACAGCAGTCCCGTCTTCTCAGGTGTCTGGCACTTGCATTAGCTTCTTTCCTCAAGAGTTTGGGTTTTTGACCCTGACCGGTTTGGCTCAGTGGATAGAGCGTCAGCCTGCAGACTCAAGGGTCCCAGGTTCGATTCCGGTCATGGGCATGTACCTTGGTTGCGGGCACATCCCCAGTGCGGGGTGTGCAGGAGGCAGCTGATCGATGTTTCTAACTCTCTATCCCTCTCCCTTCCTCTCTGTAAAAAATAAAAAAGATATATTTTTTAAAAAAAGAGTTTGGGTTTTCAGGGCAGCAGGCAGCTGAACCTAGGTTCCAGTTACAGTCTCAGCTCTGCCATCTACTGGCTGTGTAATCTTTCTAACTTTTAAAAAATGTATTGATTGATTTTAGAAAGAGGAAGGAGAGAGAGAGAGAGAGAGAGAGAGAGGGAGGAAGAGAGAGAGAGACCAATTTGTTCCATTTATGTATTCATTGTTTGGTTCTTGTGTGTGCTCTGACCCGGGATCGAACCCACAACCTTGTAGTGGTTCTCAACCTTCCTAATGCCGCGACCCTTTAATACAGTTCCTCATGTTGTGGTGACCCCCAACCATGAAATTATTTTCGTTGCTACTTCATAAGTGTAATTTTGCTACTGTTATGAATCGTAATGTAAATATCTGATATACAGGATGTATTTTCATTGTTCGAGACCCACGGGTTGAGAACCGCTTAGTAAGCAACTGAGCTCCCTGGCCAGGGTCTGGCTGTGTAATCTTAGCCAAGTCAGTTTCCCTCTCTGGCCCTAAATGGTTTCCCCATTTTAGATTGAAGGGGCTGGATCAGTCCAGTGGTTTCAAATTGTGCTCGACATAATTCCTGGAATGGAGCTATGAAGCGGGTCTCAAGGAGTGAGCAGGATCCCAGTCCAAGCAGCTTCGTTTTAATTCAACTTAGTTAAATTGGGCTTTAAACAGGTTTTCTTTAAAGAAAACTCTTCTTTTTTTAATATATTTTTATTGATTTCAGAGAGGAAGGGAGAGGGAGAGAGAGAGAGAAACATCAATGATGACAGAATCATTGATCGGCTGCCTCCTGCACTCCCCCCGCTGGGGATCGAGCCCACAACCCAGGCATGTGCCCTTGACCGGAACCTAACCAGGAACCCTTCAGTCCATAGGTCAATGCTCTATCCACTGAGCCAAATTAGCTAGGACAAGAAAACTCTTCTTAACTAAAGACAAAAAAGGGGTGGGGGTACCAGACTTGATAATGACTGAGATTATTTTTTAAAATTGATTTTAGATCAATTAAGTGATTTCACTTATTCATTGGTTGATTCTTGCATGTGCCCTGACTGGGGATTGCACCAGCAACCTTTTGGTGCATGGGATGCCCAACCAACTGACCCACACCAGCCAGGACTATTCTTGACTTTTAAAGACATTTTAAATTGAATTCAAATTTATTCATAATTAATAAATTTGTTTTTATAACATTTGGTAAATTCACACTTAATGCTTAAGAACAAACATTAACAAATACAATTATAATTTTGTTAAGAATTTAAACCCAGCCCTAGCTGGTTTGGCTCAATGGATGGAGTGTCAGCCTGAGGACTGAAGGATCCCAGGTTCGGTTCCGGTCAGGGGCACATGCCCAGGTTGTGGGCTCGATCCCCAGTACGGGGGGTGCAGGAGGCAGGTGATCAATGATTCTCTCTCACCATTGATGTTTCTATCTCTCTCTCCCTCTCCTTTCCTCTCTGAAATCAATAAAAATATATTTTAATAAAGAGTTTAAACCCAGCAATACAATTGTAGGATTCTTAAAACTTAGATGATGAATTGTAAGCCTTCAGAAGAATGAGGCCTTTGTTTCTTTTAGGATCTTCGACAGACCATTTAACGGTACATAAAAACAAAACTGAAATCCAAAAACCAAACCCAAAGAAAAGATCTATGTTTCCTCCCAGGGCTGATGTTCATGATGCTCTGATTCCTTCATGTTTAGGATTTCAGGCTCTTCTACGATTGCTGTCTGGGACATGTGACCTTCCTAGGTATGATAAGCTTGTGGGAAAATTGCTATTTTCTCACCAAGAACAGATACTAACTATAAACCTAGCAATCTTGGTCATCGTTTCTTTCAACACCCATTATATTTTTCATTGCTTTAAGTCTTTTCTTCTGCAGCCCGATCCCCTTGCAACTTCTCTGCAAGTTCTTATTTAATACATGATTTTCGGCTCAGTTCCTCTTGGCAGTTGGACGTCTCCCTGAGGTTGTCCAGGGGGACCTATTTCCCAAACGAACTGAACTGTGTTGCCTGAGAAACCCACCCCGGGCTGTTTACACGTGGACATGACCCCTTTTCAACTCTGAGGGGGAATCTCGTGTGGCAAGAGCTTTTACTCTTGTGACATTTCTCTCCTCCCTCCCCACCTCTACTCTGTTGCTTTTTTATATATATTATTGATTTTTTACAGAGAGGAAGGGAGAAGGATAGAGAGTTAGAAACATTGATGAGAGAGAAACATCGATCAGCTGCCTCCTGCACACTCCCTAGTCGGGATGTGCCCACAACCAAGGTACATGCCCTTGACCGGAATCGAACCTGGGACCTTTCAGTCCGCAGGCCGTCGCTCTATCCACTGAGCCAAACCGGTTACGGCGTACTCTGTTGCTTTTTAAAATATTTATTTTATTGATTTCAGAGAAAGAAAGGGAGAGGAAACGAGATATAGAAACATCAGTGATGAGATAAAATCATTGATTGGTTGCCTCCTGCACACCCCACACTGTGGATCAAGCCCACAACCCGGGCATGTGCCCTGACGGGGAATTGAACTGTGACCTCCTGGTGCTCAACCACGGAGCCATGCCGGTTGGGCCTCTGTTGCTATTTTTGATTCTGGATTAAGTCTGAGTTTTGGCCAAGTCTGATTCTGGTTCTTGCTCTTATTTGTAGAGGGCCACTTACGTCCGTGCTGGTGACAACAGTCCGTGAATCTGGTTTTATGGTTTGACCGTCTGGTGGTCGCTATTGGGAGATGGGTAATAGGAATTTATTTTCTGTTGGGGGCCAGACAATGGGAATTTGATTGTATTTTGTATTTTTCCTTCTTTCTTTTTCCATCTGTGTGTCTTGAGGATTCTGATATCTCCTGGGAGCCTCACTATTGTTGTCTTGCATGTCATTATGAATTTAAATCACTTAAAAATTTGTCTGCATGTGTGTATGTGACACCTGGAAAATAACCTGTAAGATTAGGAGCTCACTGATGCATAGATTTTATGCTGTAATTAAAGCAGTAAAACCAAAGCCATTAGTTCTCTTTGTTTTTATGTTTATAAATGAAAAACAATGATCTGATTACAATATAATGTATCTGTGGGCAAGTCCCTTTCTCCCCACTCCACTATGGGAAATTTATGGAGTGTGAATAGGAATAAATTCATGGGTGAAGGCTCATATCCTTACCAAATGGGTCTGAGTCAGAATTTCACTGTACTCTTTTATTCCAGAAATATATGATTTCATAAAAGCAGTGGCTTAACCAAGGGAGAGAGAGAGGGGGGGGGGGGAATTAATTACCCTGGTTAATATTCTATATTTGATGGATATGTAAGAAAATAACTTTTTCTTCTGAATATATCTCATAGCCTCATGAAAAGATGATAGACTTGTGCAAAATAAGATTAAACATTCTTTGAATGATATATTATTCCAACTGAAACCTCAGAATTAAAAAAATTCCATAAAAATTCCTGCTATTGGTTATAAACTAACAAATCCTCAGAAAAAAACACAAAGAATTATTTTGCAAAATAATAGCATATATAGGACCTGCTTACAATGATGATTAAATATTTACAAAGTGACTTTAAGTTCCTATTTCCATGACTATGCAGTATTTACATAATGTAAATACTACATAGTATTTACATAAGCTCAATAAAAATTTGTCTTTCTTCCTACCAAGATAGAATTAGAGAAAACAATTTATCAATAAATCAATAATAATATATCAAATATAAATACATTTGTGTTTATGCCAGAACTCTATTCCAATTAGGTGTGATAATCAATCCCACTATTACAAATCAAGGACAAGATAAGATAGACCAAAAAGACAAATATCGTATGACTCCACTTATATGAGGAAGCTAGAATAGGAAAATTCATAGAGACAGGAAGTAGAATGGTGGTTCTCAGGGGCTGGGAGAGGGTAGCATGGGGAGTTAGTGTTTAATGGGTACAGTTTCTGTTTGGGGCGGGGATGAAAAAGTTCTGGAAATAGATAGTTGTGTTTACACAACATTGTGAATGTAATTGCCACTGAACTGTACATTTAAAATGGCAAAAAAAAAAAAAATTCCCCCCAAATAAACAAAAAACTTAAGTCAAAAGCTCAACTAGTCCTGTCTGGTGTGGCTCAGTTGGTTGGGTGTCTTCCCATGCACTGAGAGGTTGCGGGTTTGATTCCCGTTAGGGCACATGCCTGGGTTTCAGGCTGGATCCCAGGCAGGGGGCGTGCCAGAGGCAGCTGAGATCGTGTTTCACTCTCGCATCGATGTTTCTCTCTCTCCCTCTCTCTTCCACTCTCTCTAAAAAAACAATTAAAAAAAATAAAATACTCCTGGGAAAAATGAGTGACCTCGCCCTAACTACCTTATGAATAATGAGTGCTTGCCACCCTGTTATCTCATGATCTGGACTGAAGGGCAGCCCCACCCCTTCGGCTCATTTCACCTTCTTGCTTCTGGGATCTGTAGGTAATAAATCCCGTGACTGCTGCCTTTGTGTAGCTATATTGAAACTGCACCTTCAATCAACATGACCCTGAGAGTTTCACTTCCCCAGGTGGGAGCTCGATATTGAAGGAACTACCGGCTGACCCCTCGTTCACAGGTAGGTCCTACTCTGCATATCGTAATTCCAACTCGCCAGTTCCGGCTTCTCAGCACAGTTCTTCGGTCCTTGACCCCAGTCCATGAACTTATGTGAACACTAAAATACTACTGAGTCATGAAAGTCAATGCTGACACCAGGGACTTTACCAAACTTCCTGATAGGAACTGTGAGCCCCTGTAGCATCATGGGACTCTAGTTTTGTTTACCATACAATACAAGCTCTTGATGTCCTTATGTATCCATCAACACATCTTGTAACACTTAGCTGGATAAAACTTGTCAAATAAAAGAAAACATCAAATTAATCGTACTGAATTGAAAAACAGTTTCATAAAACCATAGGTGGTCGAATCCTTGACTTAGGGGCAGAGGCTTGAACAGCAGGCAGGACTATCCAAATGAAGCTGAACATTTTCCCTCGGACAGACATTACACAAAACGTGCGTGTCATATTCAGGAAGAAAGCACTTTGCAACAAGCAGAGCAAACACACCATTCCACTGAGCTCTCGGTTCTCCAAGCCACAAACCTTGGATCAGTTCCTCCAAGTGAATGTCTTACCAGCAAAAACAATTTCATTCTTGGCTTTGGCAATGCTAATGTCTAAAGATATTTCACAACCCTGGTTGATATCATAGTCACATAAGAAAACTGCTGGTTTCCCACCATAAAGAGACTAACTGTAAACTCACTGACCTTGGCAATGTTCTGGTTTTTTTAACTTTCAATACATTTACTCTTTTTAAAAATGTTTTTAAATTGATTTTTAGAAAGACAGGAAGGGAGACTGAGAGAGAGAAAAAAAAATCGATGTGACTGGGAATTGAACTGACAACCTTTCCATGCACAGGACGAAGCCCAACCAACCCAGCCACACCAGCCAGGGCAATACATTTATTATTATTTTTAACTGAGTCCTTCTGAAATCTGACTCTCTTACCATTTTTAAAAATTAGAAAGCGTCTTTTTAGTTTTCTAATTTTTGTGTTTTTGAGCCCTTCTTTCACAAGTTTAGATGACTATTCATCTGGATTGTTGTGTGTACATAAACCTTATATAATTTTTATTTTAAAACTACAAGGTAAGCCCTAACCGGTTTGGCTCAGTGGATAGAGCACCGGCCTGCGGACTCAAGGGTCCCAGGTTCGATTCCGGTCAAGGGCATGTACCTTGGTTGCAGGCACATCCCCAGTAGGGAGTGTGCAGGAGGCAGCTGATCGATGTTTCTCTCTCATTGATGTTTCTAACTCTCTATCCCTGTCCCTTTCTCTCTGTAAAAAAATCAATAATAAAAATATACAAAAAACAAACAAAAAACATTTATTTTAAAAAAATAAAGCTACAAGGTAAGTAAAACCGAATATAAATTTCATTCTGAATAATCTCTCCAGGAATAAATATATACATCCTGACATATCTTAAAGAGATATACCACTTCCCTTAATAATCTTTCTTTTTTCAATTACAGTTGACATTCAATATTATATTAGCTTCAGGTGTCATATGGATATTTTGAAATATGCATGATACCATGCAGACATCGCATGTGAAATCTAAAAGGCAACTGCTATGAACGTGTTCACTCAGTAATAATCATGACCCCAGGAACTCCCCCATTGGAGGGGAATTGGTGTGGGTGGAATGCAAGGAGTCTTTCCTCTTGTTAGCTGTCCTCAATGGGCAGAGATTAACGTGCAGATATGCCATTGCAATTGACATTAGCCAGGACTAGACTGTGTAACTGCAGCATTACAAGTACTTGCTCACTGAAATTCTGTAAGTTCCTTATTTTTCTCCTTCCTCCGGTTTTTCTTTCTCTTCCTCCTCCCCTTCCTCCTTCTCTTCCTCCTCTTTCTCTAGCTTCTTATTTGTTTATTTTTTATTGATTTCAGAGAGGAAGGGAGAGGGAGAGAGAGAAACATCAATGATGAGAGAGAATCATTGATCAGCTGCCACCTGCACGCCCCCTACTGGGGATGGAGCCTGCAGGGAATCCAACCGTGACCTTCTGGTTCATAGGTCCACGCTCAACCACTGAGCCACGCTGGCCGGCTGGGCTCTCTAGCTTCTTCATTGTTCCACTTCATATTTCAAGACACTAACATTCTCTCTCTCGCCACCTCCACTTCTCCTGGCGGCAGTTTCCTGCGATGACCTGTCTGGCCGCTGCCTCTTCTTCCCTCTCTCCTCCACCTCCCCGCGCCGCACCGCAGCCCCTCACCTGCAGGTACCAGTGTTTGACCAGCCGCAGGAGGCTCTTCAGCTTGGTGGGCCGATGCTTCACGAAGTCTCTCTGCAGCTCGCAGAAGGAAGGAGAGAGATGGCCGGGGTACCGGCAGGCCTTCACCAGGTTCACATAGACCTCGGGGGGCGGCTGCGAGTGGGGAGCAGAAGGCCCTGGGGGAGAGGAAGCGAAGGGCGAGGCGGGATTTAGGAAGCCCAGTGCCTGTGCCTGGAGAGCCTGCTAATTCACAGGAGTGTTTCCAGGGAAACCTGAGGCCATAAACCAGTGGTTCTCAACCTTCCTAATGCCGCGACCCTTTAATACAGTTCCTCGTGTTGTGGTGACCCCCAATGTCATTGTTACAAATTGAACATAATTAAAGCATAGTGATTAATCACAAAGACAATATGTAATTATATATGTTTTCCGATGGTCTTAGGCGACCCCTGTGAAAGGGTCGTTCGACCCCCAAAGGGGTCGCGACCCACAGGTTGAGAACCGCTGCCAGTCCTTCTGCAGAAACAAGCGCGTTTTCTAAATCTCAGCCACCCAAGCTCTGTCGTCTCCCTTGCTGCGCTCAGGTCTGTTTCGGATCTCTCTCTCTCTCTTCTCTCTCTCTCTCTCTCTCTCTCTCTCTCTCTCTCTCAGATTTGCTTGGGCCCCCGACACCGCAGGGGACACCCCGTTCCAGGTGAGAAAGCTGGGCCCTGAGAGCGCCCGGCAGAGGGGTGGGGGCTGGGCGGGGCGGCC